GCAGTGGGAATTTTGAGGAATTGCGTTGACTCTAGAAGATCCGTTTAGGGAGTAATGCCATATTAACAATTTGTTCTCAATTCTATAAACACAGGATGTCTTTCTATTTATTTAGATCTTTTTCAGTAAAGTTTTTGGTTATCTTCATGTGAATCTTGCACATTATTGTTAGTTGTATTTCTAAGAGTTTGCAGTTTTTCTTTGATAGTTTGAGGGATCTTTTAGCATAAAAATATTTTTAATTGGCTAATGTTACATAGAAAAGTTGTTAATTTTTGTCAAGGATAGATAAATAAACCAAAAGAATAGACTAGAAAGTCTGAAAACAGACCCACACATACAGGTTATGTTACTTAGGACAAAGGTATTACAGTAGTTCAGTAAGGAGAAAAGATGGTCTTTTCAATAAATTGCACCAAAACAATTGGATATCCATAAGGAATAAAGTGAGCCTTGGCCTCTACCTTATACTATCTACAAAAAATAATTGGAGATGACTTATAAATCTACATTTCAAAGCAAGAACAGTAGAGCTTCTCTAAATAATAGAATACCTTTATAACCTTGGAGTGGTCAAGGATTTATTGTAAAGGCCACAAAAAATTACTAACCATTAAAAAATTAATGAATTGGACTTTGTTTAATTTAAGAACTTATGTTTATCAAAAGGTCTTATTAAGAAATTGAAAGGACAAGCAATAAATGGAAATATTCTTGAAACATTTCTGACAAAGGATTTGTATGTAGAATATGTAAAGAACTCTATGAACCAATAGAAAAAATGAGCAAAAGATGAACAGGAATTTCAAAAAGAAGATATCTGAATGGGCAGTAATAAGTACATTAGTCATCAGTAAAATAAGTATTAAAAGCCAAAACAACATACATTGCAGACCTACTAAAATAAAAAGACTGATAATATGAAATGTTGGGGACTATGTAGAGCAACTAAAACTCTCATACATTGCTGGTGGAAGTGTAAATACTTTAGGAAAATATTTAATGCTTTCTACTAAAGCCAAATCTACATCTACCTTATAACATAGCATTTCCACTCCCCTAATATACCCAAAAGAAATAAAGGCAGATGCCTATACCCACCAAAGATATGTACCTATTATCATTTTCATAGTATCTCTATTTATAGGAGCCCCAAATTGGAAGCAACCCAAACATCGAACATTAGGATGGATAGATAAGTTTTGGTATTTTTATGGAGTACTAAGCAGCATTACAAATGGACAAATTTATGCTACATAAAACATGGATGAATCTCACAGACAGGACTGAGTGAAAGAATTCAGACACAAACGAATACAATGCCACGTAGATGGAGTTTCAAGAGCAGATGAAACCAGTCATCATGATAGCTGACAGTATAGTGGTTATCCCAGGATATTGACAGGGAAAAGGAACAAAGTTTCTGCAATGCTGGAAATGTTCTATATTTGGTCTGGATGGTAAGTACATGAGGGTGTGTCATAAGGTTAATTGGGCTGTATACATGATAGGCATTTGAACTTCACTGTGTATACTTTAATTTTAAAAGTAAAATGCATAAATACAGGAAGAGATTGAGTAAAATAGGCACCATAGCTTAGTCATCATTTTTCAGTTCAAAACATCACCTCTACTGGAGATAAATGAAGGGTTTTGACAAAGGGGACCAAGATATCTTTAGTTTTTTAACAGAACTTCAAAGATCACAGATAAGAGTCATAGGAGAGAAAACCTGCCAGGGGTTGTCTATATCTTTCTCCACAAAGTTTTTAAGTCCCTTGCCTAAGCAGTATATGTGTAACAATCACTATCCTCCCAGTGGGAAGGAATATGGTGCACTTGAGATGGTAGAAACTCTATGAGCCACTGTTCTGGAGCATGACTTCATGGCCATTGAATTTCCTTGCTTTACTTGTTTTGTAAGGGTCACTGAGCAATTGAGCATGTACATATCAGTGAAATTCAAATATATTAACATTGTAGTTATTATAATTTCCTAAAGTTTAGTACACTGTACTCTAATTTAGAGGTTTTCCTATTTTTATGGGAGTACAGGATCACAAACTAGTAAAAGAGAACAAGTAACTCCTAAAATTCTGTTCCATAATTAACTTTATTTTGTTAGTATGAATTTAAATGTTCTCAGGTCATTAATGGTTTTTGTTTGTTTTTACAATGAATGATAATGTGATAGTTCATTTTCATTATTAGGTTTCTGTTCACTAATCAATACATGTTTGAGGAATTTCTTTCTTTAAGGAGCAAAGCATTTAGTACACCTTTTTTGCCATATAGTAGGTAGTACCCCTAGGTAAATTAACCCTTAATGGCAGGAGAAGCACATTAAACTAGACCCTAGGTGGTGAGTAAGGTTGGGTGGAGAGGGTAAATATTAACTCCTATAAACCAGAACAAGGAACCATCAGAAAGCATCAGGGTTCTCTGTGGTCTCAGGTGAAAGCCAGAGGTTGTTCTTTGAAGAGTGTATCTTCTTGATTCTCTGCCGCAAATTTTGTGGGACTGGAATCATTATAGTGAAGTGCACTTCAAGTGTGAATTCAGAGCTAAGTACCTCCCTGGCTTTGACCTATCCTTAGGAAATGAGGAGAGGACATGAACATGACAGCACTGTCAGGCCAGGGCCCTTCTTACTAATGCCTTTTAGCTCTTAGTACTGCCAGTGCACTTCCCTATGTCAGAAGATTCTGTTCTGCCTCTGATACCAGTCGGACACTACCTTTTCTTTATAGTATGCCTGATCCTTATTAGGATAAGCAATGAGTATAATGCAGTACAATTAGTGGTAGGAATGTTAAGAAAGAAAATGTAGTAAAATAAGTAAAATTTCTGCGAGATAAAGGAAACAAATGTCAGGGAAAATCTGTGCACATAGAATAGTTGGCAGTCATTCTATCTAATAATAGACAAACATGGTAATTAACCGTACCTCCGACACACTTCCCATTGGCTAATCAGGGCGATATGCAAATTAATTGCAAACCAAGATGGCGGCCGGCAGCCAGGCAGCTGAAGCGAACAGGAGGTTTGCTTGCTCCAGTGATGAGGAAGCCAAGGTTCCCCGCCTGCCGCCGCCCAGCTCTGAGCTGCACTCTAAGCAACTATGTTGAAATTATAGAAGCTAAACAATCCCCAGAAACCTGCTTTCAGCCAGCCGGGCCTCAGAGCTGGAATTGCAACAGTGTTTCAATTATAGAAGCTAAACAAAGCCCAGATACCTGCTTTCAGCAGCCGAGGTCTCAGAGCTGGAGCCGAGCCTCAGAGCTAAAGCCGGCTCTCAGCTCCAGTGACAGCCATAGAAGGTAAATAAATCCCAGAATAAAAAAAAAAAAAAGAAAAAAAGGAGAGGTTGGGAGCTTCAGTCACCCGCCAGCCTGAAAATGGCCCTCAGCTCCTCACCCAGACTAGCCAGGCACCCCAGTGGGGACCCCCACCCTGAAGGGGGTGTGACCAGCTGCAAACAGCCATCAGCCCGTCATCCAGGCTGGCCAGGCACCCAAGCGGGACCCCCACCCTGATCCGGGACACCCTTCAGGGCAAACCAGCCGGCCCCCACCCGTGCACCAGGCCTCTATCCTATATAGTAAAAAGGGTAATATACAAACTGACCCTAACAGCAGAAGGACTGGGAATGACTGGTCACTATGACACACACTGACCACCAGGGGGCAGACACTCAATGCAGGAGCTGCCCTCTGGTGGTCAGGGCGCTCTCACATGGGAGGAGCTCTGCTCAGCCACAAGCCAGGCTGATGGCTGCCAGTACAGCAGTGGTGGTGGGAGCCTCTCCCGCCTCCTCAGCAGCACTAAAGATGTCCGACTGCAGTTTAGGGCTGCTCCCCGCTGGCAAGTGGACATCCCCCGAGGGCTGCCGGGCTGCCAGAGGGATGTCTGATTGCCATCTTAGGCCCAATCCCCCTGGGAGCGGGCCTAAGCCTGCAGGTGGTCATCCCCTGAGGGGTCCCAGACTGTGAGAGGGACCCCTCCTCCCCCCAGAGTGCACAAATTTTTGTGCACCAGGCCTCTAGTCTATATAATAAAAGCCTAAGCGACCGTTATGGCAGAACGACTGGTCAGTATGATGCGCACTGACCACCAGGGGGTGGACGCTCAACGCAGGAGCTACCCCGTGGTGGTCAGTGTGCTCCCACGGGGGAGTGCCACTCAGCCTGAAGCCGGGTTCATGGCTGGCGAGTGCAGTGGCGGTGGTGGGATCCTCTCCTGCCTCTGCGGCAGCACTAAGGAGCAGTGAGCAAAGCGGTAAGGAGCTTGCCGGTAAGGAGCGAGGGATCCCGGATTGCTAGAGGGTGTCCCAGACTGCAAGAGGGCGCAGGCTAGGCTGAGTGAACCCCCCCCCCCCCACTCCCTGTGCACGAATTTCGTGCACCAGACCTCTAGTAGTAATCATAAAACAAGAGATATGTCTTTGCTGATATCTAGGAACTCACTATAAACCACTTCAATTAAGTAACTTATTAGGTTTAGAACTGAAATGTCTATAAAAGACATAATCTGATTTATGACTCACGCATAGACAAATGCTGGTTTTAGTGCTCAAAGAAATTGTTCTTTCACAATCTCAAAATGGGACAAATGAAATAATACGTATTTTAAATTCTGAGTAAGAACAAGAGAGCAGAGAAACACAATGCTAATTAATGAAGGAAACGTTTGTAATGTAAGAAAAGTTATACCTTAGAATTAGGTTCTGGTACACACAGTAACTGAAGTTCAGTAAAGAAGTACATATAGGTATCAAACTGAGCATTTTGCTCTAAGTAATGAAATAGAAAAATTTGAGGACCAGGACAGTTTGTAACAGAAACTTTAAGATCTATCACTAATCCTGCAGATGTCTAGAATTCTTTTTTAATTTGTGAAATAATGTGCAACACATTTCCAGTTTGTAAGCATTTTTTTAAAACTAATGGTGTTTCTCTTAAACCAAATTACATTTTCCTTTTTCACTTTTTCCCCCTCAGGAAACTTACTGGACATTCTTTCCACATGGGCTATAGCATGGCAATTTTGAACGGCATTGTAGCTGCTCTTACTGTTGCATGGTGCCTCATGTAAACCTGCACTGAAACAGTATTCTTGGCAAAGCTTAGTCATGATTGCTTTGTAGTACCAGGGAAGAAGATCATTGCCTACTCAGAAGACCAAGAAACCTGCTGTTCGTTATGTGATTCCGATGTCTGCCATATCATCATTATGGAGGACCTTCTTAAGCATCGTTCTTCAACCTAGGCACTGGGTTATCTGAATATTAAGTTTCAAGTAGTTTCTTAAAATTGTAAGATGTTTACCTTATCTCTTTTGTGTGTGTTATTTTTCTAAGCTGTAGAAAGCATTTTAATGGAAATCAAACTGGAAAACTTGAATACAGCATATACCTTCCCATGTGTATACTACATTTTTCCTAAGGAATGCTGATAATATATCTTGAGATAGATATATCTTTATTCATTATGTCAGGAAAGCAAACAATGCCCACTACTTTGACATTTTATAGAAGCTACTTTTAAATCTAAATATTTAGGTTTTTTATATTCATATAATCAATAGAAGGTGCATTTATATATTTTAATGGTGCATAGTTTCTTGTGTGTTTTTATTTACATATTTCCTACCACATTAAATTTGTATGTTTTAAAAATTGTTACATCTAGACTAATATAAATGTTATTCTTTAGCTGGCGCAAACCTAATACCTACCATTTTTAAAAATGGCTTCTTTTTTTAAAAAATTGATTTTAGAGAGAGTGGAAGGGAGAGGGAGAGATAGAAGCATCAATGAGACAGAAACATCAATATTGAAGAGCTTACTTCCTGCATGCCCCCTAATGCAGATTGAGCCAGCAAACCTGGACATGTGCCCTGACCAGGAATCAAACCTGTCACCTCTTGGTGCATGGGTCTGTACTCAACCACTGAGCCACACCAGGCATAAAGTATTTTGTCTTTAAGCAAAAAAAAAAAAAGGATATTGACCTTAGTTTAAAATTAAGTAAACTTATTTTTAACAAAAAAAGTCTGAAAAAAGGTAACTTATATAAGCCATTAAATAGTGAGAAATTTGAAGCTATTCACTTTGTTTCCACAATTTCAAATATTTATCCTGGTGTATATATGGTTACTTGAACAGAACTGATTTATTTTGTTTTTAATAAATATTAACCCTGCTAGCAAGCACTAACAACTAGCGGAACTTTAAATGATACATTTTATATCATTGTACCCAATAAAAACTTTAAAAAAATAATAAATATTAACCTAGCATTTTTATATTAGAAATTCTTGAACTAGTTGGTTTTTTATCTTAAAAAAATTTAGTCACCAAAATAGAAAAGGTATTTTGATACAGTGTATATGTAAGTATAATTTTCTATATATAGTTTTATAATTTTCCTATTTAAATGTTCTATAATTGTTTTTGTTTGTATAGTAATTAAGTCTTAATTGTTCCCACTTCCTTTCTAAATATCTGTTTAGAAAGTCATTTTCATTTTTAAAAGATGAACTATTTAAAATGCTGTTTTCCCTACCCATAGAAAGACATATTTAGGAAAGCATTGTAGAGTAAATAAAACTGGTTATTCAGGCTAAATGTGAAATGAATATGTGTGGTCTTGTTTCTGTTATCTGCTGAGTGTTGTTACTGAATAAATGATTTAATGATGTTTCTAAAAGTCTTAACTTTTTACTACTTAAAAATCTTTAGTTGAAAAAGACAAATGATGCTCTAATCTAAATTATCTAAAGTGTTTAGATTAATTTGGGTGTATTTGTGTATGTACATATAGACATACATATATGCATAAGTATATACAAATCCATGGCTTAAGGATTTGATTCCTTCCAGAGTGGATGTTGCAGTGGATCTATTCTCACCCCCTGTCTTTCTCTCCCTGCCCTTCCCAACCTTGGTTCTAAAAGGCTCTTCTATTGCAAAGGAATGTGCAAGTAACAAAATTAGTTTTTCTTCTCTCCACCTCTTCTGATCACTCACCCACCCCCAACTTGGGTAGCTTCTTCCAGATTCTTTGTCTTATGACTAAGAAAAATATTACAGTACACCTTCTCTATGTAGATACCTATAAGATCTAGATACATAGAGATAATATTTTTTCTGGAACACTATTTCTTCTGGATTAGCACTCTTCTTTCTTGAGAAATTATTCTCCTCTCTCTAGTTTAACTAGGGTCCAGATATAAGCCATCCTATTTCCACAGCTGATTGGAAGGTAAGTAACTAACCAAAGGAGATAGGTACCTAGCCAAAACTGGGCTAATCCTAGTTTCTCATCTCTCCTGGCCATAGTGATTGCAACAGGAATAGAAATGTGACTCAAATCAGGCCAGTCTTTTCCCAGGATTTTTCATCTTGAATTTAAGGTCTGATGAAGCTGGGAAGGTGATGTTGGCAGCCAGGGTTCAGCCACCCCCAGTGGGAAGGAATAAGGCTAACATGTATGCTGCTAATGACTGTCCTGTACTCCCTGAAGCCCAGTGGTGACCCTGCCATTCTTTAAATTGGTAACATGAATCATTAAATTCTTCCTTTGGCCTCTGCTCTTAATACTGGGTTTTGTCATTTTCAATAAAAGGAGTCAAGTGATTTTATCTGGCAGGGGAATCCATCTATTATGATACTCAGATCATCTTATCTCTTTTTGTGTAGCTTACAACATTCCATTCAGTGAGTTGTGAAGGATGCATTGGATATAAGTGTACCTGTGGCCACAAAAGGGTTTTGGGGTAAAACTAGCTATTAATCTACTTGCTGTTTCATCAGGAATTGATTATATTCCCAAATTTAATTCTGCTTTAAATGTTACCAGAATATTACTTATCAAGATAAGGTAGTGTGTTCCCTGCCTCGCCCTTATCTGTGGTTTTTTCCTTCTGCAGTTTCTGCAGTTTCAGTTGCCCTCAATCAACCGCAGTCCCAAAATGTTAATGGAAAATTCCAGAAATAAACATTCATAAAAGATTCATAAGTTTAAAATTACATGCCATTCTGAGTAGCATGATGAAATCTCATGCCATTTTACCTGGTCATGAATCATCCTTTTGTATGTTATTCACCCCTTAATCATTTAGTGGCCATCTCAGTTACCAGATCAACTGTCACAGTCTCTGTTCACGTAATCTTTATTTTAACTCAATAATGGCCCCTAAGTGCAGTATTATTGATGCTGGCAATTTGGATGTGCCAAGGAGAAACTATAAAGTGCTTTAAGTAAAAAGGTGAAAGATCTTGATAACAGAAAAAAGTCGTATGCTGAGGTTGCTAAAGTTATGGCCACAGTATGTGATAAGTGCTTAGTTAAGATGGAAAGGCATTAAATTTGTGGGTGGAAGACATGAACAGAAAATGTGTTATAATTAAGAGCAGCTTGCTCCAGAAAACAAGTTTATTCAGACTTCTGCGAGGGATCCCCTGAAACAAGTGACCACATTCACATAGCTCTGATTACAGTGTATTGTTGTAATTATACTATTCCATTAATTATTAATCTTTTACTGCGCCTAATTTATAAATTAAAGTTGGTCAAGGTTTGTATAAAAATACATAATATATCTAGGGTTTGGTGCTATCTTGACTTCATGCATCCAGTGGGAGTCTTGGAATGAATTCCCTAAGGATAAGGGGAGACTACTATATAATGAGTCTTTAGATCAATGAGTTTTAAATACAGTGCTATTACTTAATAATGCTTCTCAGTTTCCTTATCTGTAAAATGGGAAGACTACCCCTTCCTAACCTTTTTTATTGACACCAATCATTTTCCAAGCTCCTAACAATTTCGCCAACTGCTAATTCACTCCCATGAATATGCATAACCCTTATTTTATACCATATTGTCACAATTGGGAGGCCAAGGATGCAGCTAAACATGTACAATGCCAAGGATAGCTCCCCAACAGAAAGAATAACAGCCAAAATGCTAATAGTGCCAAGGCTGAGAAGCCCTGATCTAGGACTAGATGAGTCAGATAGCATCCTGTTCAGAATGGACAGCTGGGGTCACAAGGTTACCTGAAGCCCAGGTGTTCATTCTCTAAAAGGTCAGGTAGAAAGCTGTTTCTCAAAAGGAAAGAATTATTAGCTTAAGAGGACTTGTCTCTGTGCCAGTCCCCTATGGGCCTGTCTGGCAAGGGCCTGTTTGCATACTCAAGGGAGAAATGTGTCCACAAAGTTCATATACAAAAATGCTGTTGAATTGAAAGCTGAGGCCACATTTGACCATTTCAAGTCCATTAGAGGACTGGGTACACAGGCCAAATCGGTGTTAAAGTACTGACTGGAGTGATTGATAATCCACTGAGGGGAAATCACTGCTATACAGTGGGAGCCAGGAGTTTGGACAAAAACCCCAAAGCCCCGTGTTGCTTCCTTGTTAGACTCATTTTCAGTTAGTCGAATATTATAACCTACACAGACGGGGGGGGGGGGGGGGGGGGACTCAAATCCCTCAGGAATAAGATTTTGGTTACCTCACCAGATTTAAAAACCTGTACCTGTTAAGAAAGTCAAGGGGACATGAAATAGATATAGGACAAAAGTCAAATACTAGCTTGTGTCTCATGACTAGTTTCAAAAACAGAGCTATAGCCTCTACCCATATTTCTTTTCTATGGCATCTGTGTATTTTAACTAATTCCTTTCTTTTTTCCTGTTTCTGTCAGGAAAACTGTTATTTCTGACTTATTTCTTTTACTAATTTGTAGAAAATAGCATATGCTATCTAGCCTTATTTCATAATGACCCATCTTCCTAAAGAGTCTTTTAGACACTTTTTTAAATGTATCCAATACCTAGGATTTTTGACATTAGCTAACTACAATGTAGTATATAGATTGCAGGATATTGTGATGGGATTCCTGTATAACTTGGGAGGAATCAACATTTCCCTGAGATCCTGGACATGGAACTGAATATAGTTACCTGTCAGACTGCTGATTGTCTTCCTATGTGAGGAAGGGTCTGCATTCTCAACTGAACGAGAAATGGTTGTGCTACGTTAAATGGGATGATTTTTGAAGTGTAATCATGGGAAATAGTGGGTAGGTGTATGCAGGACAAGCAAAGGAGCGGACTCTAGTAGGTATGTTACCAGTTGTCGTCTTAATATATTTTTATTGATTTCAGAGAGGAAGGGAGAGAGAGAAAGAAACATCATTGATGAGAGAAAATCATTAGTCAGCTGCCTTCTGCACTCCCCACATTGGGGATTGAGCCCACAACCCAGGTATGTACCCCGACCAAGAATCGAACTGTGACCTCCTGGTTCATACGTCAACACTCAACCACTAAGCCACGCCGGCCAGGTGGTGTGTTACCAGTTTTTGACTGCTCAACCCCAAAATCTGTTCTTACTTTGGGAGACTTGTTATGTGTTTGTGGGAAGCAAGGCTCTACATAGCGATAGGGCTAAGAGGTTAGATATTTCCTTTCTGCCAAACTATTTGTTAGTATGTAACCTTGGTGGGTGCTACAAATTGTACATTTCAGCCCAAGTTTTGAGTTGTGAAGGAATGGCAGTCACTGACAGAAAGCTTAGAATTCATTCATAGTTGTGCCATTCTGTGGCCATGGCAGTGGTTTCTAGTTCTGTTCTGCAGTGATTGATACAATACTAACTAGACTGTTTTGAAGCAAACCTTAGCTATAATCTCTGCTACAAAACTTTCTTGTCATTTTATGATCCTGGTTTTCTGGCCTTTCCTTCAATCCTGT